CTGCACAACAGCCTCTCCTATATGGGCTTATTGGAATTCTTCCTGGAGTTTTTTTATCTTTGTGGCCCCTGATCTTTTTTTTAATGGCTCCCCACCACCACCAAATGTGGTCCCATTCTGTTCTATTTTCAGAGAATTGCCTTGCTATTAGATAGAGATGGACAGAGCTCCCCACCACCACCAAATGTGGTCCCATTCTGTTCTATTTTCAGAGAATTGCCTTGCTATTAGATAGAGATGGACAGACTCTCAAGCCCCCTTACCCAATTTCTTTCCAACATTCTTTTGGCTTTGAAAAAATAGAAAGGACAGTCTGTGACAGTTACTTATACAGTATGCAAAATGAGCATAACAATTATGCCCTTATCCTGGCTGTGCTATGGTTAATCCACAACTGTCCAATGGGACAGAAACTTTTCCCTTGATGCAAGCCTAAATGGAGGTAACTAAAATGTTCATAAAGTCTGATCAATAAGTATGTGAATGCAACAAGGCTCTTTGCTGTTCTTGTTGTTCTTTGACAGCATCCCCCTACCTCACCTTTTCTCTCATATTCAGCTACTATTCCATCTCTATACCTTGGATGGACGTGCCAATGACTTCCTCGGTGAGATCAGTCACATGACTCCAGCTGATGCCCTGGTCAGAACTAGACACGTAGCAGAGGCGAGCAGCATTTTGACCTGTGACAATTTGAAAGGCTTCAGAGGTTCTGCCCAACACAGCAATGAAAAATAGGAAAACCATGCCAGTGAATTCATCATAGATGGGGCAAGGGTTCATAGATCGATGGTGTATCAGTGCTGCTGTTTCAATGGCTTGCATATCTTCCCACTGGCAAAAAAAGACACCCAAGAATTTAGGAAACTCAGATTTAGTCTTCGTTATTTAGCTAGAACTTTTATGTAGCTTATTTTGAGATGGGAACCCATTAACTTGTAGAATGCTGTCTTCTAGTTAGCATTCACAGTTGGTGAGTTAAAGTAAATTAAGGAGCCCAAGATAACCTACATAAGATTTATTTTAGGTAAGATTTCAAAATGTGTATTAAAACCCATCCTATAAGTGCCTTTTTCTCATCTAAGAATAACTATGCATATTAATAATTAGGTTATTACTCATGATATGCAGAATTATTTGTGATAAACAGAATGCCATTGCTATCATAAATGTCATGTAATTGGTTGTGACCAAGAGAATATGTTTACTCTCCTGGGTCAAGGGGTTTTTATCTCATCTGACTCTTTCCAGAAGAACATAGACATGCTTTTTACTAACTTATAAGACAGAAATATGATCCTTGAAGAACAGCAATTCTATTCTCCTTTGTTTATGAACCTGAAAGCTCCATCCTTCAAATGGAAAGCCAGTTGAATGCTCCTCTAAGAAGGTTGAGGGATCAAGCAACCCTGTCAATGAATAATAATTCAGCAGTTGGTGGGACTTACTAGAACAGTCTTCTTTGTCATCCTGATATCAGTGAAAAGAGTGGTTGACAGAGTGTTCAAGTTAACACATCTGGAGGGGAATGTGGTAGTGAGCTCTTTTAAGAATGAACAAGACATTCATTCAGTAACCCTGACAATCAAAAGTAAGTAGATCATTTACAGATGGGAGAAGGAGCCTGAAATAATAGCAGTTTGTTTAAATGCACAACTTCCTCATTCCGCAACAGGTCAGAATCTGCTCAGGACCTATTCATCTATATCAGTCATGTGGAAGTGAGTCAGTTTACTCCTAGCCCAGCTGTAGTATCTTAAATGGCAGCAAATTTATCATTTAAAATGCTACAGCTCTGCAGAGCTTGTGGTTAGTTAGTTCCCCCATTGGTGGAAGTCTTGCCCCACCCCAGGGCCAGCCATCAATTTTAAAGTGAAATACCCTTCACTGCAACCACACAGAGAGACAGACAAAAATATACACACAATATGAGCTAAAGTGGAGGGCAGGGCACTACAATTTCTTCTCTTTTCCTTTGGTGGGGAGGGGAGGTTGGTTAGGTTTGGGTATTATGCTAAAGTATGCTGTGGCTTACTTTGTTATGCTAATGCAAATATTGTTTATAACGCATTCTTTATGTGTTTGTGCAATATGTGAACTGAAAGAAATCCATCTTATTCAGTAAACCACAGTCAAACAAATGATGGTTAGTGCAGAGGATGGCAACGTAGAGTAGCAGATACCAAGATGCCTCTAGTATTACTTATTAGCATTTATAGTATTCTAAAAAATTAAATACTTTTTTAAAAAGGAACAACTTCAGCCTCATGTGATTTGGGAATTTTCACCTGATATCATCCAAGAGTTCAGTATTCTTATATTATGTAATAATTTGAGAGTGAGATTTTGGTCATCTTTCAATTATCTTTTGAGGAGCTGCCAGTTGTGCGTGGCACAAGGCTGTTGCAATGGTGCTTGGAGCCTGAAAAGATCACCAATTTTGGCCAAGTGCAGGGTGTGAAAGCATGCAATAACTAGCAATTGTTTATGCGGATTGGCTCTATTATCAAGCAGCGGACACTAAATTAAGAAGAAATGCTGCCTATTTCTGGTATTCTCCATATGGATTGAGACTATGTCCTAGTGTCCTTGTGGTCCCAATGTATTTGGACAGCAAAAGATTAGGGAAGAATTAGCAAGAAGTGGCTGTAGGGAGACAGATATTCATAGGGACTCCCTCCTGCTTTTGTCCCTAATAGCTAGCCCTGCTCTCCAAGTTTTGGGAAAGCTGTTTTTGCTCTGCCTTACCTGCACCATGTCCTTGTAGAAAGTGCCCCTTCTTAGCACCAGCAAATTGGCGTCAGCATCATCCACACTTAGCCGCTCTTCTGCAAAAGCCAAGAGCTTGGCTACGGATGGGATGTAGAGTAGGGCTGGCACGCGGTATGTCACTCCACTGGTTTCCCTTTCAAATAGGACAGTCCGGGCAGGGAAATGGCGAGAGCCCATTGCAGCTGCAACTCAGAAAGAACACCCTAAAGCACTGAGCAGAGAATTTGGATGTCAGGTGTATCTGTATTGCTGACTTCAGATGGCTTAATAATTGTCTCCTCTATCTGTAAATATCCTCTCTGAATAGCTAGAGAGACTTTCATCAAACGTGCAGGGGGAAGGACATTCTTTCATTCATCACTGATCACGTTAAAAATAGGTTTGGTAAGTAACAGTGGCATTCACATATTAGTACGTCAATCACATAATCAATTAGTTCTGCTGAAGGACTGGAAGATTGAACAGAGATGGGCTAATGTGGCTAGGAGGACTTTGGAAATTTTCTTAATAATAGTCAGTGGCAAAGTATGCCATGCACATATTTTATTTAAGGAAATATCTGGAGATATGTCTGGAAGGGAAACGAGCTGTTTTAGTAAGAAATATTAATTTATGTCTCTCCACTTCTAAGTTAAGGACAGTATAATTACTATCCTTAATTAGATTAGATTTGGAGAGTAAGAGAGAAAAGGAGGCAGAAACGTGGTATTGTAAGCTCCGGAAAATCCCTCTTGTAGAAATGCTTCTGGCAATCTGAAGTGGGATCATGACTGTTGATTTTGGAGTATTTAAATTCTCTACTCACCTTAGCTCCATCTGTGCATCAGTAAATAAATTCAAAGACTACAACATTTCATAGATCTCCCATGACCTCCTTCCCAAAGAAATGAAATTTGGAGAGGTTCTATATTGTGCACTATTTTATGACTTCTTGAGGGAAGCAGAACAAGGATATGTACACCAGTTGTAGGCAATATAATGCCCTTCAGTTGCTTTGGGCTAGAACTTCCATAATCTGTTGATATGGGCCAAGATGGCCAGGGCTGATGAGAAATTAATTTCAAAATATCTGATGGGTACCAGATTGCTTACCTTTGTGACTCCATACAGCATTCTTTCCCCACCCCACCCCCTCAAAGGAGAGGGATTTTAGCATAAAGAAACTGGAAATGGGGGAAGCAAATTGTCATGGATTAAAGAATATTGCAGAGACAAGGTACAAAGTAAAAAGGGAAGAGACATCATGAAACTGACAGACCAAAGAGAGCATGAGACTACAAACCTTGTTCTTTCTGTGGCTGTGCGCTGTTTCTGTTACCACTAAGTCCACTGTTTGTTCTTTAGATGGATCAGTCTTCATTTGAACTACATGTGTACTCATGTACAAATACTGCTTTCTAACCAATATACTCTCAGCAGTTTCCTCTGTTTTCTGACACCTTGTTCGTTGTGTTTTAACTCTCAAGCCCCCCTGCCCCGCCTTTTCCTCTCCATTTAATTCAGTGACCTTACTAGATGTTACAGAAAAAGCACTGAGGCACTATTCAGTAGCTTGATCAGCAATGGGCAAACAAAGACCTCATTGTCAGAGTTCAGTGAGGATAGAATCAGCATTTTCCATGAGCAGGTATTAATGACCATAATTTCTCTATTTATTTGTTTATTTATTCATTGATTTACTTATTTACTAGTTGGGACACTGGTTTTCTGACCATATTTACAAAGCTATGTTGAAACATAATTTTCCGACCATAATTCCAAAACTCCATAATTGGAAGTGAACTCTGGATGATCTGGTCATGAACACAGATGTTCCCCTCTCTGCTTTTCAAACTACTAGATATTGTAACACTGCCAGTGTCTGTTTATCTAACCCTGTGTATCCATTTCCACCTAATTATAATACAAATATGACCTATATCAACTTTTTTTTTTCCTGCTGGGTCCCCAGGATATTGTCCTCATCACATACCCAACCCATGTGTGAGACAGGCTGATGATGCCTTTAATTATACTAGTATGAAGCTAGCATTTTCCCCATTGAGCCAACATAATCCAGTAAGTTATATGACGTCTGATATGCTTAGCTGCTCTTTCCATCAGCAGCAAAGTCAGATGACCCATAGTCCCAGAGTCAGCCTCACACTTATTAGCTATTTAGGGCAGATGTGGACATGTTTCCTTTCGTATGGTCTCTAGGCAGTCTCTAACACCACAATTCTGTTTTTTTCACCAAAAACACTAGACACATCCCAGGGGTGTTATGTAAATTAGGCAACAACTAGTTCCAACAATAATTTGTCAAGATAGTTAATAATCAGGATCTACTAATGGGAGGGTGGCCTCCTACTTCTCCTGAATTTTTAGTGTTACAGAGTAGTTTGTGACATGTGTATAAACAGACATGATAAGACATCCATGTGAGCTTTCAAGCATCATTGACTTTTCCCATAATTATACTATCTTGCCTTGGTAGTGTAGCAATTGGTGGTTTAGTATTTAGCAATACTAAAATGGATAGTATCGTATCCATTTTATGAACAAAATGGATACGATACTACAGTGATTAATATATATCACTAAGCACTATGTGTATTTAATATATACATCAATATGTATTAAACATCCAGAATTATCTCTGAGATAAAAGGGATTCCATTGTAGTTCATATTAAAGTTATCTCAAGCTATACGTTCATTACAACAACAGGAAAACTAAGACTGGCTATACCAGCAAAAATAGTTTGCATTGAATTGTGTAAGGATTTTTGCCAAAACTTGTAATTACATATTGTGTTATTTTGCCAGAAATTAAACATGGGTCTAATAATCTAGCCTGAGACACATAAGACCATTGTTGCTTCACAATTAGAAATAATTCAACATGGTTGCCTAAAGACACCCTTCCTTGCATATTTTAAATCTAGTAATATCTGTACCACTGCCAACTCATGGACATAGTATGAGAAAGAAGTATGATTTCTATTACCAACGCAGCTTTTGCTAAATTAATCTCTCTTCCATGGCCTGAAATTCCTACTATGGGTTTTTTAGTCAGATTCAGTAACCAAGCAGAGCAACATTTCCACACCCTTAATTCCACCTTTGTGCTCATCTAACACATTCATCCCAATCTCCATGCAAATCAACAAACAGCCAGACTACACAGGAAGAGACTGTTGTCTTCATTTTACTAAAGGACAAATGTGGAAGAATACAGCCTTTTTGCTAACCTGAGCCTGTTCTTGCTGATGGGAAAATGCTCAAGGAGTGGGAATGTAGTTTTGATCTGTAAATACCATAAGTGGTTATATTTTTGGCACTAGTGCTCCAAACTGCATGTCTTCCACTCTGGCTCCTGGTTTCAGCTTTTTAACACATATGTTAGAACCTAGTAGGTAGGGATTAGATTAATCACAGTGTCCTTTATGCTAGTAAAAATTATTTGGGCAGATCCTTTGCAGTGTTTTCCACTCTACCTAGTATTCATATTTGCACCTCCTGCATTGATCAGCTTTTTTCCCTCATTCTTTAAATTATTGCATTAGGCTATATTGTTATGTCCAGGTACCTGTCAGCCCTTCAAGAAACAGATTCCAGGGATTCCAGAGTGCTACTTTATTGTTCTTAGGGAATTGCAACAAAATCTTGAAAGTCTATCTAAGTCTCTCTGTGTGCCATCTTATACTAAACAAAATCAGGGGAAGGTTATTTTGAATTTCTTTCTCATACTTCCTTCTACCTCTGGACTGTGTAGTCTTTTCTGCAAGTCTCTCCTTAATTATTCTTTTGTAACTTCACCAAGGTCACCTCTAAATTCCTTTACAATACTCCAAAGTGAACCTTATTGAAACCGGGGCTCAACTGTACATCGTACTGCACTATTTGACTGAATTCCTAAATGCACTTAGGCAATTCTATATTTACTTAGGAATAAAGGTAATCAATCCCAGTAAAAGTTACTTCTGAGAAACATCTATGTTAGTATTAAAAATCAATCTCCAGCATCACAGCTGGGATTCTATATAGTATTAGCTGTCTCCAAATGATAATATTTGTATATTTAAAATTTGCATATTAAATACAAAGATTCCAGTACTCAAGGATAGCAGCTGCTACTCTGCCTCACCAATAAAGGTACTTTCTTCTTGCATTTATGGACTGATTGCATTTCAGGTGTAGTGAATGCCTCAGACTTGCAATTCATGAGCAATTAGCACAACCATGATTCTGTACCATGAGGACACTCCTATTTCATACCTCCCAATATTTCACAACCAGAAAAAGGAACAGAATTGAGGCAACTCATATGTAACATGCAGTATGCAAAACAAGACATCTATGGCAGTGTTGCTCAACCTCAGCGACGTTAAGATGTGTGGACTTCAACTCTCAGAATTCCTCAGCCAGCTGGGGAATTTTGGGAGTTGAAGTCCACACATCTTAAAGTTGCCAAGGTTGAGAAACATGGATCTATGGGAGTCTCTAGAAAGATGTGCACTCCATGTTTTGAGGCAAGAGGAATCCCTGGTAATTTATTGACTTGGTGGTGGGGCTGGCAATTACAGAAAGTTTTGATATGTGCCTGTTATTTCTATGGATGGGGAACATCCATTTCAAGTCAGTTGCTTTCTTTGAAACTTATGACACACCAAAAAACCCAAGCAGCATGGCTGTTTGCATGTGGAAAAGGGGGCAGGTGTACAGTAATGGTTTCAACTGCCAGGTAAGCTCCTCTGCAAGTAAAAAAGCAAAAAAGACAAGCCATGGGGAGATTAAAACTTGTTTTTCAGGGATTTTAGCTTCCAGGTGGCCTATTGTTAATAATTTTATCTGACTTCTGAGGGAGCCATGACAAACTGAATACGTCTCCACGAAACTAGAGCTGATGACTGCAGCAGAGGTCAAAGAACCGATGAGAAGACCAGTTTTTTGGAACCTCTCTGGATAAGGAGAGGATGGGAGGTTGCTCACATGTGCTCCGAAAGGCTGCCCCTCACAAGGAGACCACAGGACAGCAGTCTTCCATTGGTCTGAGCACCGGGAGACAAAGGGATTAGCCATCTTGCTTGCAACTGCAACGGAGCCTTTTAAAGGATGCTAAGTTTGCAAGCCTTACTTTCTAATCACTTTTGGAAATTGCCTACTAACCATCTTAAAGCTATTAGAGACCTTCAGAATGACAAGTTGGAAAAGAGACTTGTTCACTTAGTTTATGCTCCAGTTACAGTATGTTCTTTTGCAGACATCTCTAACGATTTTGAACCTCAGTTATGCTTTCTTAACTATGCTAAAAATAACTTTACAGAAAGCTTTCCTGTGGGAAATGAATAACACCTATTTAACAAAATGATAAAGTGCATAATATTCTAGCTGCCCAGCTGCCTTGATAGCTAAGGTCCAAACTGATCGATATTGACTTCCTTAGGGCTATGACAGATAGGCCTTTGAAACCCTGTTCTGACATTTTAATATTCTGCCAACAAGTTATAGGACAGAGTAACCTCTACACACAGCTATGTGTGGCCACCATGGATAGAATACATTTTTCATTCAGAAGACAGGAAAGATTTAGCAGTTCTTAGCAGAACCATATATCTGAAAAAATGCAGGATTTATTCCCAAGTAATACAATCACATTGCAAAGGAAAAGGCAAGTTTTTACATAAGAATAGGAGAGGACTACCATATCTGGACAGCAAAAATGCAGATGATCATTAGATGGAAGCAAAGAGTTTGGGGCAACTAGCAGGTGTCTGGATTTCTGCAGCCTGGATAAGGTAGCCCTAACAAAAACAGCAGGGTCCACTTGTTCACACAGAAAACAAAGGAAGAAAAGCTGCAGAGCACAGCTTCTGGAATTCTTTCCAAGTTCTTTATATAGTGGCCATAGGAGGCAACTATCAAGTATGTGTGTGTTTCTATTCTCCCCTTGTGTTTGTGTCTGTATACATACTTGTACTGGGAAGCATGGCAAGGGCTGCATACGCTCTGCTCAGGATCACTTGAACAAGAGATGGGGGGCTTAGAATGGAGCAGTCAACAACATTTTGAGGCACTGCCCAGCTGCCTTTCCTGTAAGAATGCACTGGAGAAGGATTTCTTTTTCCTCAGTCCGTGGCCTGATCCACGCCATTTCTGAACTCAGTCTTTCTTTTTCCTGCTTCTCCCCCCATACCAAATTTGGTCCTGTTTAGACCAGGTCCTGAGCCCCTTTATATTATTTTTTCTAACTTTATATTGAGGTAGGGAAAGCATGCAGAAGATAGCTTCTGGGTTTCTTTCCAAGCCCTTTTACTAGCAGTAGCCATAGGAGATATCTGTATTTTCTTCTGTGTAGCAAGGTAATATGTTGTATCTGTGTGCATGAATGTGTTTGAGGGTATAATTAGGATAGAA